AAAAATTAACATAATAGAAATAAAATGATTAACAATAATAAAAGAGGTTTTAACATAGATAACTTAGAATTAATTATTTTTTTCTTATTTATTATTTAATTTTTTTATTTTATATTGAATTGGTTTATAATTTGTAAAATCTAGACAGTACATCTGTGCACTTTGTGCCCTATAGTGAAATCGAGCCTGCAATAGAATTCAGAGTTGGGGTAGGCTTAGGTTTTATAGTTAGAGTAGGGTAAAATCGCGAGAGGAACATTTTTCTACACAACAGGTGTTACCCAAGTAAAATTTTGTGATATTAATAATTCTATAACAAGGATCAAAGTGACACTGGGGTGTGCGGTAAACTATGTAAATCAAACCTATGTATAGATGTATATCAAATTTTATATATGAATTTTTTTTAAAAAAATAGTGATCAGAATAGTGATTGGGATACATATCACTTATATATATATATATATTAATAGTAAAACATGTTTTTAGATGTCTAGAGTAAATCGCTCTACTTTTTTTAATTATTTTAACATAGATCTATTTTTAAACACGTATACAACAAAGTTACGTTGAAAGTTTTTTAACTTCAATATTAAATTTTAAGTTAACTCTTTACAAAAACTCTGCTTTATATTATGAATTATTCAAAGAGAGATATTTTCGTTACAAGTAAAAAATTAAATATTAAAACATAAAAATTTTTAACGTAACTTTGTTTTAAACGTGTTTAAGAATAGGTTTATGCTAAAATAATTGTATAAAGTAAAGCGATTCGCGCTAAACATCTAAAAACATGTCCTCATTCTTTACTATTAAAATACATACATAAAGTGATAAATAATCCTTGATCACTAAATTTTAAAAAAAATTCACATATAAAATTTGATATACATCTGTACATAGTTTTGATTTACATAATCACAAGGTCATTTTTTTATAATATCTATGTAAGTCTACAAATTTATATAAAACTTATATAAAATAATATATAAATATTTCATACAATAATTGTTATATATAATTTTATATAATTTTTATGTAAAATTTATTTATATTTATATAAATATAATTTTATATAACAAAACTATATAACTTTTAAATAAAATTAATTTATATAAATATGAATATAATCTTATAAAAAAACTTTAAATAACATTTATATAAAATTTATTTATATTTATATAATATAATTCTATAAAAAAAATTACATAGCTTTTATGTAAAATTTATTTATATTTATATAAATATAATCTTATAAAAAAACTTTATAATATTTATATAAAATTTATTTATATTTATAAAATATAATTCTATAAAAAAAAACTAAAGAATTTTTATATAAAATTTACTTATTTCCATACAAATTTAATGTTATAAAAATATATATATATAACTTTATACGTTTATAAACTTTATATATTATAATTATATAACTTTTATATATCAATAAAAAATATAAATAAACTTTATATAAAAGTTATATAAAAAGTTCGTATAAAAATTTATATATAAATTTCACAGGATATTGCTATATACGATTTAGTGTTAGAGTAAATTATCACTACAGCGAATTTAGTAACCTAAAGTAGTGTATAAATTTGAATGTGCAGATTCAATAAAATTGTCTAATTCGCAAATTAGAATCCACACATTCGAATTTTAGACACTACTCTAAAGTATTGATATTATATTCGATATTCTTATGATCTTGATAATACAATACATAGCATGTTTATAGATAGATAGTACAACATATTTATAAATGCAATCAAGCTAATAGAGAAGTAAAATTGTACACGCTATATTATTAATGCCTTAAGAAGACTACCCTAAAAAAAATTCAAAAAATGTGGGATAAAAAAAATTAGAGAAAGACAAATTTTAAAAAAAGCTTAGAAAAAAAAAAAAAAAACCAAAGTTCAAACTTTCTTAAGCCCATTTGATTCGTAAGCTGCCATAGATCATAAATATATAAACTACAAAATGTGTGAAAAGACTTAAAAAAAAAAAAAAAAAAAAAAAAAAAAAAACCTCTTTTCTATTTTTTCCGACGTCCCATTTTTTCTGATGTTCTTCGACGTCCCATTTTTTTCGAAGTGCCAAATTTTTTTATGAGACAATACATAAAACTAACTCAAACATTTTAACAATAACAGTCTTGTTATTGTTACAATAAAGTAGTAATAATAAAAGTATTTGCTTAACAATATTTGAAGAAGATACTTGAGAATACATCAATTACATTATAACTTGTTCTATTAATCTTTAATAAAAGTTGCTATAACCGATGATCACTAATCAAACTAAACAATCTACTTTGATACAACTATAAAGAAATAAAAACATTAACATAATACGAATTGATTGTGTCAAACTGTGGCACAATATGAACTATATGATTAATTGATTCTATTGGTATCATATTATAAATTTTTGTAAGTTGCAAATGAGGATATTCATATTTATAAAACTTTGAGGAGGCAGCTGGAAATTTAACATCGTACCAACGAATAAGTGCAAGGTCAAATGTACTAGCATTTTTAAGTACTACACGAACCAATAATAAAACCTAATATTATAAGTTATTAAAAGTTTTGAATTTAGATAATTAACAGTTAGTTTATTTAAATTACATACTTTTGCAAAGCAGTATTCGCCAAATGTGTTAAAATCTTGCTCAGGGTCCATATAAACGGCAATATTACTAAACATTGGCATATCATAATAACTTTTTGTAGCCCTTACTTTTTTCTTATTAGGAGACTCAAATAAAATTAAAGTTATTTCTGATTCTTCGATGTTTTTTTCAAGTGTAAACATAAAATCGAAATAGTCATTCATTGCAGGAACAAAATGTTGCAAACCTTCAAGAATTTCTGAACAACATTCTTTATCGCGCTTATATGATTCAATAATTGACTTGAGAAGATGTAATGAAATAGTACAATATTGTTTACCAAATTCTCCCACATTAATTTTAGTTTGGTCATTTTGTAGTACAATACGTTCATAAATTTCTTTAAGTATAAATGTTCATATTGCCTAATACAAAATATGCATCATCAAATTAGTACAAATTAAATTGCAATATCAAAATCAAAAAATTATTTTAAATACTTTTTGTAAATTTTGCAAATCAATATTTCGTTTGTTAGATTTTCTATAAGGGGATTTAATATATTGTTTGTGAAGTGTTTCGTATGTATCAGCACTTAGTCCATTTAATTTTCTATATTCTTTAATTGTCTCAATTGTATAATGTATCCAATGATGAAATTTAAATATCGGCATTCATTTTTTGTAAATGAGCCAAGAATATTAATAAAACTCTTCGCCCAAATCAGTAAACAACATATTATTTAAGTTGTCTAAGAATATAATTGTTTTTATACTGTGCTAACTAATTATTATACAATTAGATTTTGTCTATATTCTATATTTTCTATAATTCTATCCCATCTCTAATACGTATTTAAGATCAAATATAAGTTATATAAGTTAATACTAAAATCCTTCATAGCTAAGCTACGAGATATCTTGAATAGTTATAATACAATTCTAGTAAAAAGTTAACAAAATAACATTTTATTTATTTAAAAATTACTAACCTCAAATTCAAGAAGATTGGGCCGCGTAAATTCATACTTTTTTGATTGATAATACATTTTATTCCAACTTACAAACAATTGAACAAAAGATTCTTTTTTTTTTCCTTCAAAAAGACCTTCAAGAATAAAAGGCATCATATGTCTATATTCGGATGCTGTAAATAGTGAAAGTTCAGCAAGTCCAATATTAAATATTTTTAATCCTGGGTAACGTGGTATTAATCCAAATCTTAGATCCATTTTATTAACAAGAGAAATTCCACCATAGGATTTCAAAAGTTCTCTTGTAAATTTAACTATATACGGAAATAGTCCAAGATCCAAATGGTGCATTCGTTCAGGAACTGTTGCTGTATAAATACTAAAATTTCTACAACAAAGATTATAATATTTATTAATAAAGATTTTTAAAACTAGTTAGAAAGCTATTATAAAGATTGGAGTATTCAAATTTTCTTAATCTCTTAACTACTTAATCATATTAATCACTTAATTATACTTACAGATGATTCCAGAAACTATTCGTTTCTTCATGCAATGAATATTCTTTGCTTTTTCCAATTGCAATAACTTGTCACATTTGTTTTTCTGTTCGAATATTTTTGTGATTAATAGATAAATTAATAGCATTAAGCTTATTTTTTTCTACAAGACAGGTGTGACAAGGATATGCACAGCTTGTTCCACTATAGGTCAAACAATATTTACAATTTTCTGGCCAGTCACCAATAACACAAGATAACATCATACTACATCTTAAACTATGATCATTAACTTTTAATAATACTACTGAATTATACTGTGAATGTAATGGTTCAAATAGCATATTTATACATTTGTGAAATGTTGTTCGAATCAACTGCCTAAATTGTGCTGTTTGTCGCTCTTCCATTGTACCTTGTAATATTAGTATAAGACCAACAAGTGCTTTAGCTTCAGGCTTATTACGAAACTTGGTCGGGATATTACCTAAACTAATAAATATTGGATGCTGTGAATTCTTGCCTAAACGATCTAATGTAGTTGCATCAGAGCATAGTATGATAGCTAAGACTTTATTTTCAGATGGAATAGATTTTTGTGCTCGATTCCACCATTCACAGTTGTAAATTTCAGCATATACTCTTTCCTGATGTTCCTAAAAATTAATATTTTACAATATTATATATACAGTTATAATCGAATATATATATTTTACAATACATATAATAGTATACCTGATTGTTATACATATTTATAATCTAAATCAGGTAAGATATATACGTATTATAAAATGTAAATTTTATGCATTAAGAATTTTACTTGCCCTAATTGATATATAGATTTCTTGATAATTAAAAACACACTTAGCTGCAAGTTCCTGATTTTGAAGAATTTCCTTGATAGCTGAGATTATTGATATTCAAATGAGTAAACTTGATCCTTTATTTCTGCAACAGGGATTGAAAAAAACTCAGTATGATTTTTTTTCAAAGTATCTAAGAAACTAAGACCTTCTTTTGTTGATCGAGGTAAAGCCTTCTTTGGAATTTGACTATATTTTTTTACAAACTTTAATATGGCATCACCAGCCATAAAAGAAAGCTGGTATTTAATTACCTAAAATAATAATAAATATTAATTTCATTAAATACTAAATTTTGATATTTATAATACGTCTTAACAAAATTAATTACAAAAAGTATGTTTAAAATTATAATACTTACCATTTCAACAAAATCTTGATATGCCTCATGTGGAAACACTTTATTAGTGTCACTACAATAACTACTATCATTCCAGAATTCATTAGCAGCTTCCTGGATATTTTCACTTTCTTCAGATATTTGATTCGTTTCATGCATAATATTTTGGTCAAAAATATCCTGATCATCGATAATATCTTAAGTATCAATTGTTATACTAATTTCATCAATGAAGTCTTGGTTATCAAAAATTTGATTATTATTTTCTCTACTCATTATTTCTAGTTTGTCAAAACTATAAATATTTACATCTTCATCTATACTAGTATCAGTAATGCTTTTAGTTTTTTCATCTATATTAGTATAATTAACACCTTCAACTTTCTTATCTGTATCGAAACTATGAATATTCACATCTTCATTCATGCTAATATCAGTAACATCTTCAGAATTTTCATTTGTATTGATATAAGTAACTTCTTCAACTTTCTCATCTGTATCGGTATCAGTAACTTCTTCAACTTTCTCATCTGCACTAGTATCAGTAACATCTTCAACTTTTTTAACTTTTCTCATCTGTATTAAAACTATAAATATACGCATCTTCATTCATGCTACTATCAGTAACACTTTCAGCATTTTCATTTGTACTAATATAAGTTACATCTTCAATGTTTTTATCTATATCAGTATCAGTAACTTCTTCAACTTTTTCATCATCACTAGTATCAGTAATATCTTCAACTTTCTCATCTGTACTAGTATCAATATCGTTTTTAGCTTGATAATAATTTCTGTGAACTTTTTTGTGATTTTGAAGACATGTTAGACGAACAAATCTTCTTTTACACACAGGGCAATTGAACATTAAAAATGGCTAAAAAAATAATTTAAAATTAAACTAATAAATACTTTTTACGGGTTTATTATAGATTTTAGATTTACCTTTGCTTTTGTTTAATTATAAGAGCCTATTAAAGCTTTTTTTGCTTTTGTATGTAGTATTTTTAATACTTTTAATTGAATATGTTTAATACTTTTAACTTGAATACTTTTAATTCGAATTATATTATTCAGTCTATCATATTTAAATAAATTAGTAGAATTACATCATTTGATCTTACGCAATTTATTATTTTTTATTACATTGTCCTTTCATTTTTTTTAAAATCGAATTTTCTAGTTTAATACATATTAAATCAAATAATCAATAAAATATTCAAGTATATTGCTAAAACAAAAGTTAGGCCATTTTCCTATTTGGGTCGATGCCTTTTATTAATTACTATTTGCGTCACTTTTTATTACAGACATTCTCATCGGTAATGATTACTACATTATTCATGCAATATTAATCGCTTCTGATTATTACATTGTTTATGCAGTCACTAAATTAAACTTTTAATTAAATCGTGATCATGCCATTCATGCTAACCCTGATCACAATATTCAATCACCACATACTCGATTATTAGTCACCTGGGTACTGCTAACCAACCCTGGTGCTACAAGTACATTGGGTATTAACAAATACCGCAACACTAACTCTGACTACTTATTATATCTTTAATTTCAATAGCTATTATGAAACACTATAAATTTTCATTAAATATTAAAATAAATTGAAAATTTTATTTATTTATTTTATATTTATTGTTATTATTTAATATAAAAAATCGAAGTCTTGTAATTTATTCTATATGCAAGTCATTTGAATCTAATATTTCTAAAAATATAAAAGTATTTTTATATGTATACATTTTATAACAATTATACATTTTATGACAATTAAAAAAAAGCAAACCTTCATAGTACTGACTTTTACTTGTACCAAAAATGCTTTACGCAGCTCTAAAACTACCCAATCATGTGACTGAAATGAAATAATATAAAAAATTGTAAATGGTAATATAATCAAATATAATCAAATGTATTACTAATCTATTGCATTATTTTTAGTTATTATATAATGAGTATTTTACTATAAATTAGGTTCAATATAATTTATAGTGATTACAAATCTTAAAAATTTTTTAATAATTTCTATATTTCTTCTATATTATGTCTACTCGAAGTCGAAAGTAAAGCCTTGGCATTGAACATAACGAAATTAATTCAGTAATTTAATAAATTATAGCTTTTATATGCGTTAAAAATTTGTTAAACTTCTTTTTTTTATTTTTTAGACATTAGAAGCACTAAAATCTGGATCATCAACTTCTACAAAGCGACAACAAAATACCAAAGATCCTATTAGTCAAACCTTTAGAAGTGTAAGCAAAATACTATCTACTAACAAAAATAACACCACGAATAAAAATGTTATTGATGTCGAAAAAGATATTGATGATATTCAAAATGAAACTGCTGAAACTTCGTCAAGATCTTCATTGAATGAAATTTCTACAAATATATTAGAAGATCCTTTTACTAATACAGAATGCGGTGATTTTTAAAATTTTGCTTACTTCATATTATTAAAACAAATTAGCCTTAGATAAAGAAAGTAAATCAATTAATTTATTACTAGAAATAACTAATAAAATATTAGAGCAGAATATTTTAATTATGGAAAAGCAGAAAACATTGGAAACTACACTTACTCAACTCACTAATAATGTCAAGACTTTAGAATCATCATATGAAAATTTAAAGTCAAAGACTAAAGAAAAGGAATACGACTAGTGGCAGGTATATTAACTACTTTTTTTTTTTTTTTTAATGTTAAAGGTGAGATCATGCTCTTATCTTTATTAAACTTAATGAAAACTTTTTACATAATTGGAAAAGGTTTTATATCTTAAGTCTAGTGCT